GTGACCAGGCTAGTCTTGGCTTCGAGGCATCTTCGAGGCTGGTCTCCCAGCTTGTCGTTTAACTATGGGATGTGTACAGAAACAATTAACCTAATTTACCATGTCTAAAAATCATTATATGGTTGGGTGATGTCTGCGCCAATAGGCATTACGTGTTATCCTGTTGTGGTGGGCTGCGCGTGCTTAACTTATTCCTTCAAAATTGTATGTGGCATCTAAATAGATATGCCAATTGATGTATCCCTCCTCTGAGTGCATTGCTTCCAGGAATTCGCGGCTTCATCTTATTGAGCAAGTGCCAATAATCTGCGTGTTCTCGCATGGGAATTTATGACCAGTTTCCAGTGTGTGCAGTGTGGCCACCCGGGATAAATGCTCACGTCTTCTGACCGCTAACTGATGTTCGTGTATGCGGATTGAGGTGCATTTTCCAGTCTGGCCTCAATAGACTGCATGACAGCTAACACACGGGTTCTTGTAGACAACGCCAACCTTGTCCTTAAGGTGTACAAACTGTGAGCGTAAGATGGTTGCAGGCTAGTGTCCTACTTGTATCTGATGTATCCTTAGTCGTTTTTCGACAAGCTCAGACAACTTTCTTACATAATGAACCAATGTCGTTGCAGGCCAACCACCACCGTTCGAAACACGATCGAATTAGTGAAGGGCCAAGCGATAAATGCTGGAAGTTGGCCGACTTTGAATGAATGTGCGAAGTGGACAGACGCACTCGAGACCAGAATTTTCACCTGAACTCGGTTGGTCTCGTACGGCAGCCAGACGGGCCCCAACACCGGTAATTTGTGTGTATGCGCGCGCGCGACACCTTATATATGCCCTTGACCGAAAATGAGGTCACAGTCTGGAAGCTAGGTGTCTCGCCACGACTGACGGGCTGGTCTGCTAACGTGCACGTGCCTCTTGGATGGAATCGCAGTGAGAGTTCTGCGTCGTGACAGGCCCCTGCACTCTGGCTACTTGTCGATTTCTCTGCCTCCTCCACCCCCGCCTCCTACCGAAAAGTCTTTCTAGAAAACATAAAGCAGCTTCTTCGTGGAAATGCTTGTCGGCCCTCGTTTCATTCATCTATGAGCTAGCAGTCACGGTCTGCACATCCGAAGGCTACGCCTACTTGTTGATAGATGCATGGAAAGCCGCGATTGAAAAAAAAACTTACTTCCCTCCCCCCTTATAGCTGGTCCGTCTTGGAAAGAAGGAAGTAATCCTTAGGAGTCATTTTTGCCGTAAATGAACCGACCGACACGCATGCGCTTTTCGCACGCTCCATACAGCTGCACTTGCTGGCTTAGAAGAAACAACCTTCGGCGATACCCTTTCTAAATCATTAAAATTCGGGTTCTTGCTGTACGATTTTAACTGTCCCCACAGCTTCACTTAGCCTACATATAGGCTAATTGCATAAACACCAGCCGGGTAGAATTGATATCAGGCAAGTACAGTGTATAATATGAAATTACAGTCTCAACTCATCTCTCCATATGCCGTCGGTGGGATATGAGACTGTGTGCAGTTTCGGGATTGCAAGCATCGTCTGTTAAAGGTGATCTTAAATAAGCTCAATTCGTTTGCGGTCCATCTGATCCTAGGAGGCCATGATGGCATGACACACCTGCAGATCCTCAGTGTTCTCACCTTTAACCACCGTTTGGGATCGTAATTGGTGCGGTGATGGCTTGGCAGCTCGCGTTTGGGTCATGAATGGCCGTAATTTCGTTGCCCGTGTCGGATGCGGGCTTGATAATTGCGCAAAAATTATGTTCGCTGTCGTCGGGGTTGTTAGTGGGCCCGGCCCTTCCCACGTGACCGATTCTCCTGCT